TTCTGATCTCACAGAGGTCCCAGCCAGCAGCCCTGCAGCCAGGCCAGCTTGCAGGCTCTGTCACCCTTGTCATTGTTCCTTTGGTACATCAGAACATGTCCCATCTATTGCAGAAAACGCACCCCGCCTGGTGTACATGGCGACCCCCATTCACACCCCAGCCAGCCTCCCACTGGGCTTCCCCAAGAATTTCTGAGCCACGAACATTATAAACTGCAGGAAAAGCGCCCTCGTGTGTCAGCAGTGGGACACACACCTGAACTCGGGAGAGAGGCACATTTTAAACTGCGCACCGCTGCGGAACATGGGAGTTTTGCTTCCTCTGTCTTCAAAACCTGCTGTGGAGAAGTGATGAAACGTGCATCCAGCATCCTCTCCCCACACCCAGCTTAGTCACATAACGGGCAGCTGGGGACTCAGGCCTGGCCGTCGGCATAGTCCATCCCCTCCTTGGGGTGGAGGGAGGGGACCAAGCCTGAGGACACCACAGGAGCCAGTACAGCCAGGCTGGGACCCGCGGAGCCTTTCCGGGGACCTTCAGTAACACCACGCTTCTGTCCCCTTCACTGTGAGTGTTTCAGCGTCAGTTTGAGTGTGAGTTTGCTGACCCATGGCCCAATGTCCTCACAGGTCACACCATCTAAAAGAATAGGAACAAATGGGGCTCTGGTGTCACCAATGATGGCAGAAGGCCCAGCCAGGAATCGGGGGTCTGCCACAGTGGCCCCCTGCAGATGCCTCAGGAGGGGTCCTCGGAAGCAGAGGTCCCTCTGGAGAAGCAGGGGTGTCTGGGGGAGGCCCCGGCCAGGGGGCTCAAGCCAGAGAAGGGGTAGACGGTGGACAGTGGGATGCAGTGGTCACACCAGGTCTGGTGGGCATGCCCTGCCCTCTTCTGCTCTGCTCCACCCTCTCTCTCTCTCTCTCTCTCTCTCACACACACACACACACACACACACACACACATACATACACTTACCCTGCCCACCCCCAGTCAATGGCTGAAGGAAAATTTCGTCTACTCAGAACACTTCTGACACCAACTGTGGGTTTACTTCCCACGTCACCCAGTTCCCTGCAGACGCTGCAGCCCCAGTGGGGTGTCCACAACCCAATTCTGATGCCAACTACTGGACTTAGCACAGAGCATCCCCCCCAGGTCAGGGGCTCCCACACGACGGCCCCCCCCCCCACCTCGCGTGTCAATCTAAAGGAACCGGTGCCCCGAGTACCCACCCTTCTGTCCAGCTGGCTCCCCATCGAGGGCTCCCAGGAGCCCTCCTCTGTGGGATGACCGGTTACATCAGTTTGGGACTCAGAGAGACACTTGTTTCCAGGTTTGTTATAAAAGGTCCACCCGAGGACAGAGACGCAGGGAGGACAAGGTCCAGGAGGCAGGAGGCTCTGTCCCCACCGGGTGGAGGGCATGTCACCGAACTTGTCCAGCTGGCTCCACAGGCCCTCGCTTTCGTTCCCGACGGGAAAGGCTGGCTTCTAGTTAAATCATTTCTTCTGATTTACAGTTAGCTTCCGTTTCCTGATTAATATCACTGAATCATTGGAACACTAGGAAGACTCCGCTTCTAAAGCTCCGTGGATCTGTTTCTGTGGACAAGCACTGAATCCCCAATTGTCAGTGCGTCCCTTTCTGTGCCAAAGACTCCCCAGGAATGTGGAGGCCACACACTCCAGGTGAAGAGGGGTCAGCACTGTCCCCCAAACCTCTGGACAGTGGCTGTTTGTCTGGTGTCAGTGTGCACGAAGCCCAGCGTGGCCAACCAACAGGCAGGTTTTCACGACTACTTTTTAGAGTCTGGGGACAGTTGAACCAGATGAGGGGTGATGATAAGGAACGTGGGGGGAACCGGCGTTTTCTTCCTCAAAATAAGGTGCCCCTTCTCAGAGATGCTTGGGGAATTCCCAGATGGTTTGTAGTTATTTTTGCAGGAGGGACTTTTCCTTGTTATTGTTTTGCTTTGTTTTTACAGAGGTCCCAGTGGAAAGCGCCTACTCTCGGAAAGAGATCAAATGAAGCCATTGAAGTGGGAACAGAGTGAAACGGACGCTGGCAGCCACCAACGTCACAGCTGGGGTCCCCATGCAGTGGCTGCGTTCCAGGCACGAGGCCACCATGTTTGTGACATTTTCTCATTTAATTCCCATAAAAGTCCCAGGAAGTAGGAGCTGGTATTTTACAACTTCTAGTGAAGCGGAGCTGATCCTCTCTAAGTCATGCTTAAGTGGCTGGCTCAAAAGACTCCAAAGCCAGCTTTTTTAAATAAGAAAATTATTTATTTTTAGAGAGAGGAAGGGAGAGAGAGAGAGAGAAACATGGCTTTGCTGTTCCACTTACTGATGCATTCATTCATTGGTTGACCCTTGTATGTACCCTGACCAGGGATCAAACCCACAACCTTGGCGTACCAGAACGATGCTCTAACCAATGGAGCTACCCGGCCAGGGCCCAAAGCCAGTCCTCTTCACCACCCAGCGGCTATCTGCTATTGGAAGCATGCGTGTCTGCCGAGGACAGAAAGTCCCCGAGCCACAGAAGGCAGCCTGAGGACCATCAGCGGCTGGTGTGACTGTCCCAGTACAATTCATTTTGTCAGCAGTGTGTCCCGAATGCCTGCCAGACACCTGACATGTGGACATGCCCACGTCACTGCTCCTGACCTCGATGACACTGCAGTTGGTAGGGACCCAGACAAATGAACAAGGGTCACACCACGTGAGAGGGGAGCCTGCAAGGTGGGTTCTCGACCAGAACGCACCCGGTGAAAGGAGAAGACCCTTATTCCCAGTGCGGAAGGGGCTCAGGCCTGGCCACTCAGACAGACAGGAAGCCCAGGGGAAAAGCAGCAGGACCCGGAAGGTGGGTGCGTACACTCCCCCCAATTCTCCAATGAGGAGACCTTGCTAATTGAGAACCAGAGCACCCTATTGTTATTCTTGAATGCCTCCATCCCCACTGTTGATTTTATAAGAATTTCATCAGCTGTTTATGAAGCCAGACAGTCACTCTGTAAGTATTCAGTGCCTGCTCTGTGTGTTGGGATACAGAACAGAGGCAGACAAGAGAGACAACATTCCTGCTCTCTGGAATGTGAAAGTCACATTCCAGCCAGGGACCGAGTAGAATGTCACTAAATAAATACACACAATGACCGCACTGCGTGATGATTGCGGTGACAAAAACAGGCAGGGGTGTCCATGGAGAGGAAGCCCCCTTAGAAAGGGTGACATCTGAGTGGCGATCCGGGCAGGCATGAGGTGGCCATATCTGTAGCCGAGGGAACAGCATTTGGGGCACAGGGAACAGCCAGTGCAAAGACAGACCCTGTGGGCAGGTGCTTCGCACTGGGGTGGGGGGTGGGCATTGTAGACCCCAGGGTCCTGGTCCGATGCAGGAGACCAAACCCCAGGCACTGGTTCCGCGATGCCGCTAAAACGGGGCCCATTGTGGGTTTGTGCACCAGCACCAAGCGCTAGTGCGATAAACAAAACAAGCATTTAAAAAATCTACTTGCAAAATAATGATTCACATTATCGAAACTTACAAAAGTCGTGTTGATAGAAAAATAGACTATAGAGCCAGAGGAGGTATGCAGTCTTCTAACCCAACCAACTCCTCGTTTTTTATGAGAAAACTGAGGCCCAGGAAGGTGACAGGAAAGCCCCGTGGCCACGTGGCCCCACAGTGACGGTGAGGAGACTAGAACTCCGACTTGCAGATTATGGATCTCTCTTCCCTTGACGGGTGTAGGATGCACTATTTGCCTGGCAGGCACCCCCACTATTTGGGTTAAGTATTTGTTTTGAAGATGACACACCTGATCTTCCTCCTCTTTGGTTTCTTCCCCGTAGTTCCCCATCCAGCCTGAAGCCCTTCCAAATTCAGCTGTTAAAAAGGGGGCCAACGTTGGGCAGGGATGGTTCACACGTGCGACATCCAGGCCCCGGGCCGAAGACTCTCGCTTCCACATCCAAGTTCCCACCCAGGAGCCTGGGAATCTTGGCTGTGTTTACGGAGCTGAGTTTGAATCAGGAAGCAGAGGCGGGCTCACCCACTTGTCTCCTACGCTGCTCATGTGACCGTCATCAGCTGCTGAGTGAGATGACTTCAACTCTGTCCCACAGCAGACTCCGAGGGCCAGCCAGAACCAGAGTTACAAGTTGACAAACTCCTGCAGGGGCCCCACAGGCAGCATCATGCAAGACAGCTGTGTTGGGGACACGAGGCCAAAAGGTTAGGACTCACTCTGAAGAGGGGGGACCACGGCTAACGATGATAAAAGAGGTGGTCCGGTGGGAGGCGCTCATTAACCCATTCCCAGAATATCAGAACGAGGAGGCACCATGAATGGAGGGGACCTTGTTGGGAGGAGCCAGCAGAAATGCTACTTAGGTGAAGGATCGGTAAGGACAACAACTAAAACCATTGGCCCCCGCGCCTGAGGACTGAACAGGTCCCCAAATGGTTTCGATGTATTCAAATTCGGTTAATAAGGACTAACCACGCCTTGGCGTCTGTGCCGAGAGAGCCCTGGACCAGAGGTAGTGTACAGGTTCTAAGTTTGGGGGCTTCTGTCCCTTTACCCCTGGGACCCTTGCTGCACTTTGGTACAGAGAGTGAAGGAAACAGAAGGGGAACTTGTGTAGAAAATGCAGCGTTTCCTCTCCGATGCCACAGATTCATATCCAAAAGTATTCAAGAAAGGCGCCCGCGTGTGTGTGCGCGTGCGCGCAATGTCTGGTCCTTCCCCAGAAGGATGACTTGGGCAAGTTGCTTAATTTCTCCGAGCCTCCGTTCCTCCACCTGTCAAACAAAACAAGGTCCCACTGAGGACCGTTTCGCAATCCCTACAGATCCGCGGGTGGAGCTGCAGGTAGGCAGACAGACCAGGCCCACAGGTTGCCTGGCGACCAGAAACCCGCCCCTTCGCTGCCAGCTCCGATTGGCTCTTCTCTGAAAGGGCGGGACCTGCCCCGCGGTGGGCGGGACCCGGGCGCCGGGCAAACACCAGGCCGCCGAAGGTCCCGGGGCAGAGACTGCTGCCGGAGTCATCGCAATGGCCGGACCTGCCCGTGGGTCCGCGCGCCCGCTGCTCGCCGCCCTGCTGGCGCCGGTGCTGGTGGCGCTGCTAGTGGCACCGGCGCGGGGCCGGGGCGGCCGAGGCCACGGCGACTGGGACGCCGACACTCTGTTGCCGCCGCTGCCGCCCCGCGACGACGCGGCGCGCGTGGCCCGCTTCGTGACGCACTTCTCCGATTGGGGCGCGCTGGCCACCATCTCCACGCAGGAGCGGGTGCGCGGCCTGCCCTTCGCCGACGTCCTGTCGCTCAGCGACGGGCTCCCGGCCAAGGGCAGCGGCGTGCCCTACTTCTACCTGAGCCCCCTGCAACAGTTGGTGGGCGACCTGCAGGTGAGCGCGGGGCACCCCAGCCTTTCCAGGGCCGCCGGCACCTGGCCCGGGGCGACTTCGCTCACACTCCTGACTCTGAGCTTCCGCGCGGACCGGCAGGGTCTGCAGCGTCCCTAGTAGTGGTGGGCAGCTGACTATGGGGAAGGCTTTACAGGGTGTCGACATCCTTGGGAACTTCAGCACTTCGTTTGCGAGGGGTCTTTCTGACCCCTCCTTTGAATTGCGAGTTTTCCCTTCTGCACCAAGAAAGCTGATATCCAACATTGGGGACCATTACAGCGATTATTGCCATCTTTAGCCCCCTCTGTGCACACTGGCTACCTCGGCAGGAGGCAGAACTGATGGTAAGTCCATCTCCTCCTCACCCTTGGCCCACCTTTTGTGGGCAAGGGCCAGGTTCATGGCTGCGCTGGACTCCCTGCTGTCCCAAGAGAGATGTCTCAGACGCCTTGGGAGGCCAGAGCCACACGGGGTCTGGGACTGAAGCCCGACTGGGTGGAGGGTCTTTCTGACAAAGGTCTGGGGTTTGAGGTTACCTGGGAAGGTACAACGTTATTGATGAAGATACGGTGAAAGAGAAAGTGGTATTTGATTAAGCACCTGCTATGTGCCAAATAGGACATCACTCTCCAGTCATCCTGTCTTTTGCTAACCCATTTGAAGAGGTTTTCCTTGCCTCGTTCAAAGGCCGAGGGAGGGCAAGGAACTTCCCCAGCACCAGTGGCCAAACTGGAGTTGCACCCCGGTCCATCTGCCTTCCAAATGCAGAGCCCAGACGGCGGCCGGTGGCTCAGGAACTGAATAGGTCAACCAGCCAGTTTTCTTTGGCCCACACAGAGTTCTGGTTTTATAATTATTAGTATTTATTCTGAATTAGTTCCCATTATTTAAAAATTGAGAGTTCAATTTAAAATCTAAGTTTGTAACTTCTTGAAAAATTGGAAGACCTGGTGATGGGTGGGGCACGTTCTATGGGTGGGGCACGTTCTGTGCACAGAACAGCAGCAGCTGCCTCCTCAGTCCTGGCGACCTGCCTGTTGGTTCACCGCCCTCTCCCTCCCAGCCCACTCCGTGCCCGAGTGTGAGCTCAAAGCAAGCTCATTCCACCCACCAGTGGGGCTCAGCCTTGGCTGCAAATACACTCGCGGGGGCGGGGGGGGACTGTAAAGAATGCCAGGCCAAAGCATTTTATGGAAATACATTTTATAAACCTCTCTTCCCAAACCCCTTCCGATGGGGGAGCCATGATCAAGAATTCCCGCTCTACACCATGTACTTAAACTCAAAGGGGCAGGGGACTCTGCTGTGACCAGTGGCTGGCAGGGGGGCTCCAGCCCTGCTCTGACTGATTGAGGAAGAGGCTGTAGGGAGGCCCCACCCTACCCAGGACTCAGGTCTCCAAGATGTAGCCGAATCAGAATTAGTCTGTGTCCATCCATTAACCAGTTGGGGTTGGCGTACAATTTCTACTTTTCTTCCCTCTTCTGACCTCTGCCCACCAGGTGGACATGAACCACCCAGTCCCTCCCTTTAGAGAGCCACTCCTTCAAGCAGATTGGGTTGCTCTCAGTCATGTCTTACACGGTCCCAGTTCTGTCTTTTTGCAGTCACAGGCCTCTCGACCTTAGAACCTTGGCAATCCGTTATGCACTGTATTTTGATGTCTACCGCATCATTGTTTTGCATTATTTAAATTTTATGTCTGACTTTCCAACCAGACTATCCACTCACAGGAGGGAGAGACTGTGTCACCGTGCCCTGCCCCACTTCTCCTGCCTCTCCCAGGTGCCATGCCAAATAAATGTATCGACGGCAAACACTTGGCTACATGGTTTCCAGGAGACCCCTTTCTGACTCACTGTTTGGAGGGGTCACCATGACATGGGAGAATTCCCCACACGGGACCCTGTGAGTCTGAGGGGGGAAGCAGTCTCAAGCGCATGAGTGCGCTTTGCTGCAGTCTGTCAGCAGCAATGCCTTTGGCGAAGCCGACTTCTGAATAAGAAAGAACCAGGAATGGGGCTCTCCTCACACTCAGAGTCTAGGCATTCTCCTCTTGGCATCAGGGCGAGAAGGAACAGCTTCTCCAATTTTGAAACCCCGTGACCAGTTGGGCCGGCACGAGATAAGCAGGAAGCGTGACTCAGCTGCTTTCCTTGCTGAGACTGCAGAATTAGCTAGTGGAGCAGCGGTTGTTTTCAGACACCAGTTTCTGGTTAATGTCTAACCCCTGGGATGTGTCAGCAAAAGGACAGACCAGCCTTGTGCTCGGGTAGTACTGTAATTATGAATCCTCTGGGGAATGCAAGACAAGTAAAAAGTTGAAGAGGTGTTAAAATAACTCACTTAGTTCATTTAAAACGTGAATGCCCCTCCCCTGCTCTTTGGAGAGAGGGCCAAGATTATTCTCTATCCAAAGAATCATGGCCCCACGTGGAAGGTGCTGTTTTATGACTCATTGTTCTATGGGAGACTGGTCAAGCTGGGGGACAGTGTGTGCGTGACCTGTGAAGTTGGTTGCCTCTGTGGAGACAGCATTTCACGAGAGGGTCTTCATTCCCCCCCACCCCTGCAGAAGAGTCCATATGCCACGCTGACCATATCTTTGGCTCAGACCGACTTCTGCAGGAAGCACGGGTACGACCCCCAAAACCCCCTCTGTGCTCACGTCATCCTGGCCGGGACCGTGACCAAGGTGAGTGACTACGTGCAGACACGCCGACCGGCTCCAGGGGGGTGTTGTCCCGCTGACTATGAGGGAAGAGATGGTTTGGGGATAAAGTAACATGGATTGTGATTGAGGTGCAGAGTCAGAGTGTGTTCTGACGTGTAAAGTAATTTCACAGGCAGCAAAAGTGTTTTTTAAAGATTTTGTGTGAGAGAAACATCAATGTATAGTTGCCTCTCCAACGCCCCCTACTGGGGACCTGGCCCACAACCCAGGCATGTGCCCTGACTGGGAATCGAACCCGAGACCCTTTGGTTTACAGGCCAGCACTCAACCACGGAGCCACACCAGCCAGGGCACAAGCAGTAAAAGTTTTAATCAGTTGCTTTCATATCGGTGTTCAAGAAGACATTTGTGAGCAGAATGAACTATTTTGGGGGGGACAAACAGAGCTAATAATAAAGCCCCGAAAAACAGCTGCCACCCGAAGCTCCCTCCTTGGCCCCGGTGTGCACTGCACCAGGTCCACGGTGTTGGGGTTCCTGCCCCCCTGTTGTGGCGGTGGCTTAGAGCAGAGAGCGCCCCCAGCAGGTTAGAAGGGGAGAATCCGTCCGTACAGTGAGTGCTGGGTGTGCATCTCCACAGTTTGGGGTGAGTGCTGCCAGGAAGAGGCTCAGTGGGACCTGGGGAAGGGCAGGGGGCAAGGTGTTCTGAGTCCCCCGCCCCTGGAGGATGGCTGAGCCAGCAGATTGGCTTCTTGACCTGTCAATCACAGCCCCGGAGTTCCTCCTGTCGGCCTCTCTGCAGGTGCCGTCCTTCCCCAGCAGGGGGCAGCAGGGAGTCAAGGGTCCTGACTTCCGCTGTGTGTCTTCTAAAGGTTCCGCCCTGTGTGTGTCTGCCTCTCATGTTTGACATGTCGGCCCTGGGACAACTGTGCTAATGGTGCTTGTCCCAAGCCCAGGGACTCTTTGTTCTGGGACCTTGTGTCAGTTAGTCTGATGGCTCAGAATTACTGCTCAGCCCTGAAAACTGGGACTCAGGATGGTGTCCTCGTCCCCTCTGTTCTCACCAGTTTCCGGATCCTTCCTCCTTGTCTGCGTTTGTCCCAGCTTCCTTGACCTCCTCCTGGCTCCTTAACTGTACGATCAGGATGGACAGGAGATCTTCAAAGTTTTCAACACAGAAACACAAAACAAAACAAAAAGGCCACCAATTCTGATGTGAACCAGACTTGGAGGCCGTTCCACAGGTTTCACAGGGGCAGACAAGGGCAGGTTTACAGTTGTGAGTGTGTGAAACAGAGTGTGTTCGTGTGTTGTTATCAATTATCATTTATTAATAATTGTGTAGCTTTCTGTACAAACAACGGTAAACCTGCATTGCCCACCCAGGACATGCATCAGAGCATGTCCTGCTGTCTGACACCGGAAACAAACGAGGAACGGACCCCAGCCCCCAGTGTCCACGGCGTCACGGACGAGACGGGACAAATTCACAGGGACTGCCAAGTCCTGTGGAGGAAAAGGGACGGGGCGGCCACTCTCTCAAGGGGAGAGCGCCCCGACCCTTGCCCTGACAGGCTTTTACTGGGTTCTATTTGCACAGGAATACACGGTGTGTACGTAAAGCTCACCAATCATTGTCAGGCAGTAAGGATCAAACAATAGGTAACATTAAAAAAATCTACGAGGGCTTATTCTGAGTCAGGGTCTGTTAGCTAAAGGACCATAAAACTTTGGGGAACAAACTCATTTCATGCTTGGACCCTTGTCACTTAACTTGAGGGTAGTAGCGAAGCTGGTTTCACAGGATTTTATGCATTCTTCCTTAGGCCTGATGGTCTGGGGAACTGCCCCTTCCAGCCCAGGGCCGCACCCACCTCCGGCATTGTTTCAGGCGTAAGTCAGGCAGTGGAAGTAAGGCAGCCAAGTGATTAGGAGACTTCTCTCACACAGAATGAGGACTCAGGCTATGTCAAAGCCGAGGGGTGAGGGTCCATCACCCCCTTTTTCTATAGCCCCCCAAGTCCTTCCCTGGGGTCCCCCGTGATCATGCCTGTACTAGGTCATCCCTCCCTTCAGGAATCTTACCGGTCATTGGCTAACCAGTCATCTGCCTGGGGCCAAGCAGGGTGAGGTGAGAGGGGACAGAGGCAGCACCCCTATAAGGAAGATAAGCTTTGTCTCCTTAGCGGCTTATGGACCCAAGGTCTTTTGCTCAGCCTTAGCCATGGGTGGGGGGGGGGGTTACATCTTCTGAAACCAGGCAGGGCGGTTCTCAACAAGCGAATACAATGCCATAATTATATATTAATTGTTAAAAAATAAAAAAGGAAACAAAAGATCAAGATCTGTAACCAAACAAACTCTGTAGGATGTGAAGGATGCTAGAATCGCCCACAGTTAGCAGACAAGAAAAGATGACGTCCCCACCATAAAACGTTCATCTCACGTGTGTCCTTCAGGTGAACGAGACAGAGAGGGATGTGGCGAAGCAGGCGCTGTTCACCCGGCACCCGGAGATGGCGTCCTGGCCTCCCGGCCACGACTGGTTCTTTGCCAAGCTGAACATAACCAACATCTGGGTTCTGGACTACTTCGGCGGGCCCAAAACAGTGACACCTGAGGAGTATTACAACGTCACCGTCCAGTAAGTAGCTGGGGACCCATCGTCTGCCGCGTTGTGCAGCCCTCGTCGGGGGCCCTTGGGCCAGGGGGGTGTGACCACTTCAGGTGCCACCGACTCCTGCGACCGCCCTCACAGTGGCATCTTTTAAACGCGTGAAGTACGTAGCATTACAAAAGCAACCCCTGTGTTGGGATACGCTCATAAAGAGAGATGTGCCTGGGGACTGGGCCCCGGAGCATGTCACTCTTTAGGGAGGTCTCACATTACGGAGCTTGTCACATTAACGGAGGGCTCGGGCCGTGAGGGCTGCAAGCAGCATTTCGAGGCGTCCGCGCCAGCTCTCTCATGAGTCTCGGGTTTGTCACAGATACGCCATCCGCAGGTGGCTGCCTGCCTCCATTTGCCGAAGGAGAGGACTCGTTTCCCCCAGAGCTCAGTGCCAACTCGGCCTTGTTCCCCGGCCGAGTTCACAGACGCCCTGGACTCCACCTGCAGTCTGGACACCAGGCTGGGGACCCGTTTGCAGGCTGCACCTGGGGCTCTGCACGGAGCCCGGTTCCGACCCATGACTCTCACGAGAATCGGGCACCTCGGACTGAATGACCCTCACCTGAGTCTGAGCACGTGACTCTCGTCCCCAGCAGTTCCCCCCTCCTGGGAGCACCTGTGGGGCCGAGTGGTGTACACTGCCCCCCAGAAAGTGGACACTGGAGGGGAGGAGGCCGAGACCACAGGGGCCTGAAGATGGCATTTCTGAAAGGGCAGGAGAGGAGGTATGCTCAGGAGCTTTGCACTTAAGTCAGGGGTCCAGTGAAGGAACACGGACACTGGTCCCTTCCCAGGTGACAGAGGTAACTGACTCTGCCTTACCTGACACTCTCACGGCCTCCCAGACGGTGGTGACCCCCCGGTGGCAACAGCAATTGCACACTCGTGTTTGCCGAGCTTTGCTTAGCGGCCGGGCGCAGCCTGTGTGGCTGCTTTGTCCGTATCAGCTCGCTGCCTCTCCCTGCGCCAAGGCCCCTGCGCTCGGCAACCGGTTCCTTGGCGGTGACATGGGCGCAGCCAGTGAATGGCTTCCAGCTCAGGTCCCCCTCCCTCGGTGGCTCTCGGGCACAGCCTCCTCGCCATGGAGACTGCTGTGGTGAGGTGAGGGGGAGGACCCTGGGCTGCACCAGGAGGCAGAAGCTCACGTTTAGGTGTCTGCTGCCGGCACTCCCGTCCCCCAGGCCTCGCCGACCTGCTGACTTCCCACCACGACTGTAAATGTCTTCACGGATGAACCCAGCTTAAAAAAAAAACAACCAAAACACGGTCTAGGGCAGTGCAGGGCACAGACTGGGTGCTTTGTAAGTGCCGGCAGCTTGCCAGCCGGATGGTTTGAGCCGGAGATTCTCAGCCTCCTGTTTGAAGAAGGAACCCACGTGTGTGCGGAGAAGGGCCACGGGCCAGTGGTTGTCTTTCGGGCTGGCAAAGCCACCTTATTTTATAGGGACACAGAGGTGGCAGTTACAACGGCCGGCAACAAATCACCAGGGAAGACAGCCAGTAGGACGATGCTCTCCAAGGTTACAGCTGACTGGTACGGGCGGCAGCTCAGTTATCTTTGTACAAGCCACAAGCCCGGGGGTGACGTTCCCTGTAAAAATGAGATAAACAGGTGTTTTCTCAGGAGTCTCCGCACCGAGTACGTCCAGTAATCCCGAGGTCCCCGCTTTACTGCCCTGGCCAGTGGGCCTTTTCTGCAGCTCGGAGATAAGACGGAACACTTGCTGCTCCTCCTTCTGACAAGGGGTCGGGGAGGGGGCGCAGGCCAGACACTGGGGTGTGGCCCCTCCGGAGGCAGCATTGGGGATGGGCAGCGCCTCCAGGCCGACCTTCCGGAGCAGGTCTGACTATTAACGCCCATCTCGGAGTGCGGGAGTGGGCCCGCCACCATCCCACCCTCCCAGATTGCTGCCAGAAGTGTCCCATAGCCCGGGGAGTGGACGGTCATGTGTGTTAGGGCTGAACCCCTCCAGGGGCCTCCCAGAGCTTCCCCGGACGGCAGCCACCTTGGGGGCTCGCCTGCATTAGATTTGGGGGATGTTCTCTCTCAATACCAGAGAGCCCTCTACACCTGGGAGTCTGTCACACTCAGAGGCGTCTGTTGTGACAGCTTCAGCACAGACACCACTAGGCAGAGCAGGTGAGGGCCTAAGGGCATGTGCTTTGCCTCACCGGCCTGCTGGGCCAAGACCCCGTGGGCGTGCCTGGACGTGGAGTGAGGTGGTAGTGTTGGCTGACGCCCTCCTGTAAGCAGGTCTCACCACCGCTCCTGGTTGAACCCCAGAACCAGGTCCGTCCCACCTCCTCTGTGTCCCCCTGGCCCCTAGTAAGGACAGAGGTAGGGAGAGGCCACGGATGACAAGCTTGCCCGGTCTCCCGTGCCCGCAGATGGAGTCTCTGACCGCCGTGGTGAAGGCCGCAACAGGAAAGTGGGTCACGGTCCCCTCCCCCGGCGGATTCAGTGTCACCAGGCGCTGGCTGATAAAGCCTCTTTTGTCCTGCTGCTCGAGACCCCTTCTGTTCTCAGCTGGTTTTGCCTTTTAAGCCGTCAGATAGTTTGGAGTGAGAGAACCACACAGCCCGAATGATGGGCACCCACCGATGTGCGGGCATCGTCCTCGGACCGGAGGGACTCTGGCTGCGGCGGGGGGTTCCAGGAGCCCCGGGCGATGCCGCCTCAGCACGTGGCAGAAATGAACTCTGAAGCCTCGCCTGTTAGACCGGAAGGAAGTTCCTCTAGTCCTTCCCTAGAGCGAATTAACTTTTAAGATTTGTCAGCTCAGTTTAATGAAATAACTCTTCTTTCTGTCTCCCCCTGTTTAGGTGAAGCAGAATCGGGCGACTAGAACCGCACAGGTGACGCTGTTGGGAAGTTTCTAACAGACTGGAAGGGCGTCGGGGTTCCCGGTGGACCGAGCCCCAGAAGATCCGCCCGTTCACTTTCACCCCGGGGGCTGGAGGGCTCGCTCGTTTACAGAATCAAGTTGACTGTTGCTGGATTTCTTGGAAGACGAGGTTGCTGACTTTTATAAATGTGAACCTGTAGTTTCAGTACCTATACACGTGGTTTCAGAAGACGAGATGCGATCCCTCGTAAAGAGGCATCAGGAATCAAGCCCCGGAGCCCCCCTGTGGCTCAGACAGGAGTCCATACCCACCAGGATGTTGGAAAACAACAAAGAAATCCAGCAAACAGCTTCTGGTTAAGAAAAATGAGTTGCATTACACTTGGCAAAATAGGTTTCTTGTTCAAAGCACCAGGGATTAAAAGCATTGTTTTAAATGTGCGCGTTGGATTCGTTTTTTAAACACAGATGTTCATACTCATACCCTCTGGCCCAGGCCGCTGCTGGGACCCTGTGTGTATTTTATGTCAAATACTGGCTGTTTCAAAGCTTCACAAGAGTCATTCGACTCTTTCCCTTTGGGGACTGCTCACCATGTCTTAAAACTGAGCCATGGCCCTGGCTGGGCCGCCCAGTGGGTTGGAGTGCCGTCCCCTACACCCAAAAGTTGCAGGTTCAATCCCTAGTCGGGGTGCCTACAGGAGGCAGCCAATCAGTGTTTCCTTCTCCTTCCTCCTCCTAGAAAATCAATGAACATGTCCTTAGTGAGGACTACAAAAGTTTAAACATATTTATATTTAGGTCAGATCCAGTTATTACGGAGGAAAGCCAAGCCTCGAGTTCCAGGTGGTGGTACAGAATATGTTCCTGTTATGTTCCGACAGGCCACCAGAGGGCAGTCTAGACCATTCTTTGAGCAGATGCGAGTGCTGAGCCAGAAGAGTGCCCAGACACCGTGGCTGAGGTTTTGGGTGCGTGGCCTCGATCACAACGGGGCAAAGGCAGCTCCTCGGGGATGGGAGCAGACATGGAGGCCTCTATGTCACATGCTTCGGTCCCCCTGCACCCCACCTCCTACGAAGAGGGACAGCCCTCCCCTTCACCCGCAAGGGCATGAGTGTCTTGGCGGGGGACAGGCTTTGGCCCAGAGGGCAAGGCAGGGTCTCCTGAAGGAGAGAAAACGCAGGTGGAGAGAGGGGCTGGCGGAGCCGCCCGGGGCTCCCAGCCCAGCGGGCCGCATTTGGTGGGAACCATCTTGGCCTTGGGTCTGTGCCAACCACCCAAGGCCACTGTCTTTGCCAGACCACAGCCAACGATCCCAGTTGGCTCCGTCTTCCAGTCCAGGGTCCTTGCAGGTCCGAGGTGGGGTGGAGAAAACCCTTCGTGAACCGGAGCGGGGCTCAGCGAAACCCACGCAGAGACACCCCGGCTCGCCGCTGTCGGAGCCGCTCCTCCCTCTTAGTAACATTCAGACCGGCAACACAGAGCAGTCGAAGAGGGCACGACTCTCCTGGAACCGGCTGCGTTTTCGGTTTTACTACTAAAACAAAACAAAACAAAACAAAACATTTTACTCAGTGTCGAGCTGGTAGGTCAACATGTTTTAGGGAAATTCCAAATTGTCACTTCAGACCCGGCTGCTCTGTGCATCTTCACCTGAGAGGCCCATTCTAACTGAGGTCCTTTGGGGAACTAAGGGAGGTATATATACACCAGCCAACGAAACTTCATCCTGTTCTCAGTTTTTCCTCTGTATTTATGATAAGATGTGTGGAAAAGATGGCTTCCAGTGGGCAGAGGCCGGGGGCCCGCTAAACACCTTCCAGTGCGTGAGACGGCACCACAGCAGAGTTATTTGGCCAAAACATCAACAGGACCAAGAAACTCCGCAAACCATTTCTGACCCCTCGGATCGGTCACAGCACCTTCTCCACACACTGCACAATTTATTTATTTTTTTGCATTTCAGTTATGTTTTTACCTTTCTTGAAACAATAAAGCATAATATGCCCAAAATGTTGCTTATTTTATTCTGTCTTCAATATTAAAATGGCTACACAAAAGTTCACCAGTTTTTATGAGTTTTTAAAAAAATTCACAGCTGTTACAATGCAATCTAACAAAATCGTTTCGGACAAAGTTGAAGACAACTCGGCACTACGAGAGCCATCATAGGAAAAGACCAAACAGACTTTTTGGCCTACACAGTATTTCCTACATCTGTGTTTATTTCCTTGGAGGGACTGCCAGCAGCGGGAAAAGCTGTTGGCGTACGTTGCAAACTGCTCTGAAGAAATTTCTGTTACTTAGTCCTGTGAGTGGGTGAGTACCCCAGACTTGACCGGTAACAGTGGGATTACCTTCAGGTTACCGATGACTTTGGACATCTAAAAGCCCAATAAACACCAGCTACTTTTCTTTCCCTTGCTTCAAATATCAGTTGGTAACCTATAATTTGAATTTTCTCAAAAATAAGTGTTATACCCCCGGCCGTGTAGGTCAGCTGGTTAGAGCATCGTCCTGATACACCCAGCTTCCAGGTTCGATTCCCACTCACAGCACACATAAGAATCGACCAGTGGCCCCGGCTAGTGTGGCTCAGTGGATTGAGCGCAAGCCTGTGAACCAGAGTCGATAGTTCGATTCCCAGTCAGGGCACATGCCTGGGTTGCAGGCCAGGTCCCCAGTAGGCCAGTAGGGGGCGTATGAGAGGCATGTTTTCCCTCCCTCTCTTTCTCCCTCCTTTTCCCTCTCTCTAAAAATAAATAAATAAAATATTTTTTAAAAAGAATTGACCAATGAATGAATAAATGGAACAGTGTTTCTCTCCACTCCCCCACCCAGCTCTCTAAAATCAATCAATAAAAAGCTTTAAAAACGTTACAATTGCTGTAGGACTTAATTTTATAAAGTGTGCTCATGCATCGCGCTCCTCACTCCAGGAAGGAGGTTGGGGTCCCCAGATGACCCCCAGATGGGGGGAGTTCACAGACGTTGCGGCAGACCCGGTCCCTAACTCTGACTCTGTCTCCAAGAATGCCGTGCCGCCCCCCCGCCCCCCCACGCCCAGGAGCTGCTGGTCACACACGGGGCCTTGGGAGGGAGGTCTGGCCCCTTCCATCCACGGTGTGTGGGGTAGACGGCAGAGGGGAAGTTTCTGGAATCCTGTTCATGGAGCCCCAGACCATGAGCAGCTCATGGGGTGCGGGGCAGCTCCAAGCAGGAGGCAGGGAGCAGGGTGTTCCCCGTCTTGTACGGCCCAGGATTCCAGTTCTGTGGAGAAAGCTTCCGCCGGACCGTTGGCCTCACCGAGACAGAAGCACTGACAGGAGCCATGCGGTGGCGTCAGCAACACGGCTCAAGAGGACACCCCCTGTTCTGGCCCACCCTCAGCATTGACAAACTTGGCATTTGTCTGAGGACAAAGTGCCCTTGTGGGACCCCTGGGGCCCAGCACCCTAGGCCAAGGGGTGCAGGAGGAGTCTTGCACACCAGCTAGTCGGGGGATGAGCACAGACCTCAGGCCTGGCTGGGGACCCGACCGCGGTGAAACCAGCTCCAGCCCCTCCCAGCCGGGGTCTGGGAGCCTCTGGGAACCACCCCCTCCTGCCACATCCATGCCCAGGTGTGTGTGTGGGGGGGTGTGGGGGAGAAGGAGGGAGGTGGGAGAAGCTCCAGCATCCCACTGGGATGAGCGGTCAGAGGGCCGGAACTTTGCAGCGGGGAGAGGAAAAGCCCGATGGGGCCCTTGCGCAGGGTGCACACACAGCTGAGGCCCAGAGCGCCCTTCCGGGCCCTGGTCTCACGACCTCTTCCTTGGTGAGGAGGGAGGCCAGGGGAGCCCCGGTTCCCCAGCCCGTGGATGAAGCTGAAGGCGCTCAGGTCTGTCTCCCTCCACCCAGACCGCTGAGTCGCCTGCTGCACGCCTGGGGAGCCGCCGAGTGGCAGCTGGCTCTCCAAGGGTATGGAAGGGACAAGGTCCTGCTAATGGCTCCCCTGAGAAGCCCACTCATGAGCCCCTGGTGGGGATCTTGTCTGTAGATCCCTGACTGGCCCGTGGGCACCCCAGGGCGCTGCCCAGCAGGCCCCTCACACCTGGCTGCCCAGGTGCCCCTGATGGCGCGGGAACAGCGAGCAGAGACGGCTGGTGGTCACACCCAGAAACCGCCAAACCTGTGGCCCAAGGAGAGACCGTAAAAAGAGGTAGGTTAGAATAACTCTTTCACCAAGACTCCCTGCTTTGAAGAATTTTGAGATTTCACGGCTCATACTGGTGTCTCTCATCACGTATGTGTGTGTGTGTGTGTGTGTGTGTGTGTGCGTGTGTGTTTGGTTGGCCCCCGGCACCTAGCCCTCTAGCGTGGCCCGACTCACTTTTCTGGAAGGTACTGCTGGCTGTCAGCTGAGCCAGCAAATCCAGGGGCTCAGAGCAGCAGCCGGAAGCTCCACTGTGCAAATGCTTCTCACACCTTTGGGAGATGTCTTAAAAGATGCTTGCGTACTGGTAACTGTGATCCAATTTAGAAGAAAAAATAATAATATTCCAGACAAAATTTGTAGAACAATGTCCTTGGGAGGCAAGAAAGGATAGAAGCCAGGGTGGGGAGTGGATCCAATATTTAGGTCAAAAAAAGGTACACGCATGGGTGTTTTAATGTTGATGGATCTTACTGCGACGGATGCTGAGGGTCTTCCATTCACATAAAAGCCGCTCATTACTCCCTCTTCCGTGGATTTCTGATTTGTTTTTATACCTTCGGCACAAAGTATTGGTTGTGATTGAAAATATCTAGACGCCCTTGAAGTGTAAGGGAACGAAGCCGTTGCCACAGGGCCCGGATTTCACCTCCGTGGGATTGTTCAATATGGAGCCTGCCTGGTTTCTTTCACTTGGGGCAACAAATCTGAGATTTAACCACACTGTGGAGTCGCTAGTAGTTTATTCGTTTTTATTATTGAGCCTTAGTTCATTGAATGGATATGTTGTCGCTTGTTTCTCCTTGCATCTGCTGACGAGTTACTCTGGTGGTTTCCAGTCTGGGGTTGCTACGAACACAGCCGCTGGGGACCTGCGTGAGAAGTGGACGTTTGTTTCCTTTCGTCTTGAGTCGCTGCCTAGGAGTAGGACGGCTGGACTGTGCGGTAAACGTGTGTCTACCTTTGTGAGAAACGGCGAAGCCATTCTCCAAAATGGCTGTCATTTTCCGTCCCCGTCGTCAGTGCAGAAAAGGACCTGCACCTTCTTGCCAACTCTTGGGTGTGGCGAGTTGTTTTGTTTTAGCCGCATGAACAGCTGTGCAGTGGCATCTCTGAGTGTTTTACTTTGCATTTCCTTAATTATTAATGATGCTCAGCATCTTTTCACGGGATTACTGATCCCTGATTTATCGTCTTTTGGTAATTTTTCTATTCAAATCTTTTGCCCTATTTTCTCATTGAGTTAACTATTACTAAGTTGAAAGAGTTCTTTATGTATTATGGATCAAATCCTCTGTCTGACAGGTGTATTCACAAATCATTTCTTTTTTTTTTAAATTTTTTTATTGATTATGCTGTTACAGTTGTTCTATTCCCCCTTTATTCCCCTCCACCCTACCCCCCATCCCCACCATCACCCCCCCTTTAGTTTATGACCATGTGTCTCAAGTCCTTTAGATTCTATATTTCCCATGCTATTCTTGCCCCCCCCATCTATTTTCTATCTACTGTCTATGCTACTTATTTTCTGTACCTTCTCCCCCCTTCTCCTACTCCTGCTCCCCTGTTGCTAACCCTCCTTGAGATCTTCATTTCTATGTTTCCACTCCTGATCTAGCTGTCCTTTTAGTTTGCTTTCGTTTTAGGTGTGGTTGTTAATAACTGTGAGTTTGTTGTCCTTTCACTGTTCATGTTTCTTTAACTTCTTTTTCTTAGATAAGTCCCTTTAATATTTCATATAATAAGGGCTTGGTGATGATGAACTCCTTGAATTTGATCTTATCTGAGAAGCACCTTATCTGTCCTTCCATTTTAAATGAAAGTTTTGCAGGATAGAGCAATCTTGGTTGTAGGTCTTTAGATTTCATGACTTGGAATACCTCTTTCCAGCCCCTTCTTGCCTGTAAGGTCTCTTTTGAGAAATCTGCTGACAGTCTGATGGGGACTTCTTTGTAGGTGACTGTCCCCTTAGCTCTTGCTGCTTCTAGGATTCTCTCCTTCATTTTAATCTTGGCTAATGTAATTACGATGTGCCTTGGTGTGTTCCTTCTTGGGTCCAACTTCTTTGGGACTCTCTGAGCTTCCTGGATTTCCTGGAAGTCTATTTCCTTTGCCAGATTGGGGAAATTCTCCTTTATTATTTGTTCAAATAAGTTTTCCACTGGTGGCTGTGCCTTTCCCCCTTCTGGTACCCCTATAATTTGGATGTTGGAGTGTTTAAAGATGTCCTGGAGGTTCCTAAGACTCTCCTCATTTCTTTGAATTCTTGCTTCTTGACTCTTTTCTGTTTGGCCATTATTTGCTTTCTTCTGGCCCACTCCATTGATTTGAGTCCCAGTTTCCTTTTCATTGCTATTGGTGTCCTGTGCAATTCCATTCGTTTCAATTAGTTTTGCCTTCATATATTTGTCTAATTTGTCGGTATAATCAACCAGTTCTGTGAGGATCCTGATCACCAATGTTTTAAACTGTGCGTCTGTGAGTTTTGCTATTTCTTCATCGCTTAGATTTATTGGCTCTGGGGCTCTGAGATCCTCCTGCGCCATTCTTGGTCTGTTCGGGTCCTTTAAGAAGCGGCGCCTTGGATTCCCAGGTCGCTGGGTTGTGACGCTGTATGTGGGGGCGTGGCCAGAGCGGGGAAATGGCGACCCCCTCTGCCGCTTCTCACAGCTGGGTGCGGAGGAGCAGTGCCTGAGGTGGTTCACCTGGGCCGGGCCACTCAGAGTCGCTGGGTTATGACGCTGTATGTGGAGGTGGGGTCAGAGCAGGGAAATGGCGGCGCCCTCCACTGCCGCTTGCCGTGGGGACCTGCCGGGCCTGGTCCAACCGCCCACTCCCTCGCCTGTCCACCCTCGCACAAATGCGCGACCTCAGTCAACACGCAGCCCTGGGCCCGGCTGTCTCCCCCGCGGTCGCTCGCCTGGTTGCTCGCTGGGTCGCTCACTAGGTCTGACCCTGCGCCTGGATTCCGCCGGCCTGAGTGTGTCTGACCGAGTTTTCCTGTGCAACCCTGCTCCGCCAGCCGCTGGTTTCGCCCCTTACAGGTCAGGCTGAAGAATTTGTTGTTAACGGACTTCCGAAAAGTTCAATTTTCCGTGTTCTGGCTGTGTTTTCTGTTGCTAATATTTAGTTTTCTCTAATCTTGGTTGTGTGAGAAGGCACGGCACATCCACCTATGCCTCCATCTTGGCGGAAGTCTTCGCAAATCATTTCTTAATGGTGTTTTTCAATGAACAAAGTTTTTAATTTTGATTCAGACAAATATATCAGTTTGTCTCTCTTCTATTTTGTGCTTCCTATGTTATATCATCAGGGTTTTTTTCCTGGGCTTTATTTCAGAAGATTGATAGTTTTATGTTTTGCATTTAGGTCTATGACCCATTTTGACGAATTTTTGTGTATGGTGTAAAATAAGGGTCAATATTTGCTGTTTTTTTCCATTCAGTCGATCCAGCACCATCTATCGTAAAAGACCACCACTTGCCCATTAATTTTTCCTTGCTCCCGTTAGTCGGAAACCAGTCGACAACCCACGTGTGTGTCTGTAGTACCACACGCCCTAGATGGCGGTTGTGTCAAGCTGTGAGGTTTGATGTTGGGCTATTTCACCCTCCTTACTCTTTCCCACTGTTTTCCTGGCTGTTCTTTTGCTGGTGTGTTTCAGCCTTGCCTGTGCATTGAGATATAAGTCCCACAACACACAAGTCACCATTTTTAAGCGGTTCCGAGAGTACTCACAGTGTACTCGTGTGCCGTCCCCACAACCTGATTCCCAGCATTTCTGTCACTCCCCAGAGGAACGTCACACCCGTTAGGGTCGCTAGTTTCATACAAGTGCCATCAGTGTGGGGTTTTGGGTCTGGCTTCTTTCACTTAGTAGGACGTTTTCAGAGCTCGTCCACGTTGGACGACGTAACTAACGATGCCTCCTTCCCCCCTTTTATGGTGGAACCCTATTCTGCTGTTTGGAGAAGCTCCCTTCCTTGGATGCTGGGTGTTTGGGCTGTTTCCAGTTTGGGGCGGTTAGGAACCAGGCTGCCTCACACATTCATGTACGAGCCTTAGGGGACACGTGTTTTCAGTGCTTCTGGCTACATGCCTCGGGGAGGGATTGTGGGGTCCCTGGCAGCCCTGCTCAGCGGTTCCAGGAAATGCCAAACTGTTTCTGGGGGGGTTCCACCGGCCCCCCCGCCCGCCAGCCACGCGAGAGCTCCCATCTCTTTTGTCCTCGTCAACACCTGCCTTCTGTGCTGTGGAAACAGCCCACTGCAGCTTTTCTCTGCACTTCCCTTTGGCTGATGGTGTCCAGCACCTTCTCCTGTGCTTGCGGCTCTTTGTGCATCTTTGGAGAAATGTCTGCTCGGGTCTTTGGCTGGTTTTTTATTGGGTTATTTTTTTTCCTGTGAAGTTGTGGGGGTTATTTATGTATTCTGAATACTACATCCTTATCGGTATATGATCTGCAAGTATTTTCTCCCATCTATAGGTTGCCTTTTCAGTTCTCAATAGGTGTCCTTTATAGTTAAACGTGTTACAATTTTTGATCAAGTCCAACTTGCCTGTTTTTCCTTTGATTGTTGTCCTTTTGGTGTCCAGCTGTTATTATATATTAATTTTTTATGGTAACTTTGGAATAGCCTTACACCTTGTTCTAAGGCTTTCGCAGGTGTTTTTAGAGGGATGGATTGACTAATTTAGGGAGAATTGTGGTCTTTTTTAGGGAGAAACTTTTGATCAGAGACCCTGCTGTCTTCCACTGTTCAGAAATGTTTCCCGTGTTGTTGAGGAATGTTTTAAAGTTTGTTTCCTGTGGATTTTATACTTTTTATTAAGTTCATTCCCAGGTATTTATCATTTTTATTATTGGAAACGAAGCCAGTGCTTAAATGTTGAAAAGTAACAGGAGGGTCTGACACCTATTTCCAACTACACGAAGGTTCAAATTCAGGTCAAGTTCAGGACTGCAGGCTAGGATCTGCTCTATCAGTTTGCTTTATAGATCAGGACGCCCAAGTCTGCAGATGCTGCTGCCACGCTCAAGGCCACGCAGCCAGCAGGTAGCCGAGGCCGCCTGGAGGCCCGGGCGTTCAGCCTGACCCAACCAGGGCCCTGCCGTCTCCCCGGCCCCTGTACAAACCCAAGTCCGGGAACACGGCAGGTGCCTGGACAGGCGCCGGGAGCTTGTATTTGCCTCGGGACCGATGCCCCCAGTCCAGGTAGGCATTGGGCAAGAACAACACCAGCGTCAGGGGCGGGCACAGGAGAAGGAGGCAGCGGTTAACGGGGAGGAAAAGCAAACAGCAGGCAGGCAGGCGGACACACCCCAAACCCTCGGGCCTCCGCAGCTTCCTGCCTGTGAGCCGAGAGGGGTGTGAGGTCGGGCCTGCCGGCTGCCACTGGTCCCCACTTCCTGAGGGGGCCGCGCAGAGCGCAGCGGGCACGCACTCCCCGTCTCGCCTTCGTCCCGGCACACGGCCCTCCCGGGGGGACAGGACACCATGAAGTGGGAGGCGCTGGTCATCGCGACCCTCCTGCAGGCTCAGTTCCCACCGGCAGGTAAGGCTGCGGAAACCAGGGCGGGGAACTTGGAGAAACTCTGTGTGCCCGTGGCGGGCATGTGGGGGGACCCAGCGTGGGGGGCTGGCGAGGACGTGGTGTCTCCTCCAAACCCCGTCCTTCTACGCTCGATGGGCAGCCGAGCGGGGTGGGGTCAGGCTCCGAGCTGCCTGCCATCGGCGTCTTCCCAGCAAGTGGTGCGTCAGTTCAGAGGCAGCAGCTTCAGAACACACTCGCTCAAAGTGTGGACATTTCCAGTGATCAGAGGGGAGGGGGAGGACGAGGGGGAAGGACACAGGTGGGCACCTGGGACAGGCCCAGGGCTGGACAGAAGCCGGGCAGGGTCGGGAAACGTCAGCCGGGCCGGGCCATGTTTCGGGCTGCGACGCTGCTCTAGCTCCTGTGAACCCTTGTCCCCCCCTGGTTGGCTCCGTCACTCCGTCTGTCTCCTTCTTCCTTCACAACAGAGAACATTTCACTCGTCCGCCGGGCAAGGCCATGGCTGTGGCCCTGGTCGATATGAAATGCCTCGCTGGGCCAGGGACCGAGCGGGGTTAACAAAGGAGGGACGTGGCCTTCCGGGTGGAGGGTTCTGTGCCCAGGCTCAGTTCCGCGGCCCACGACCAGCACTGCCCTGTGACACACTCCTCCCAGGCTCGGGGCTCCCCACCCTCACGCAGGCAGCTGGCTCCTCACCCGAGGCCACAAAGCCAGACATGCTGCCGGAACACAGGGGGACAGAGGAGAGGATATGACTTGTCACATCACCGCCATGAGTGACAAACCAACCAGCAGAGCACCGACTCCTCGCCCCGTTTCGGTTCATGGAGGGAAGCTCTCCTGGCGTCTTCTTACCTGCTGTGGGGAGGAAGAGACAGGGCGGGCCGTCCTGGGGGGGCCTGGGCCATGCATTGTACCGGGAATGGGGCAAGCTGTGTTTGGATCTAAAGAAATGGAGGGGGTGTCCCAAACGTCCTCCCTCACCTCACCGTGGGATGGCGGTGGGAGGCAGGGGGCCCTCGGCACTTCCGCTCCGCCCTGGGGACCTGGCGCAGGCCTGGCCCTGGGCCTGGGCTGTCAAGGTCTCAGCGCTTGTGGGTTTTCTGTGGCGCCGCCTCTCTGTTCTCAGAAAGGCCTGGCTGGGTAGGATTCTCACGGGGCTGTGGGTGAGGGGGTCAGAGCCATCCTGGAGCAGCCCTCCCGGCGAGCAGGGGACAGCAAGGACCCATGACACCGAGCAGCTGGGAAGTCAGTGCCCAGTGGACAGCCACGGGTGTAGGCCGGGGCCTCAGGCGTGGGGGATGGTCCTCAGGAGCTAAGTCACTGTGTGGCCTTTCCTTGTGGCTTCACTGAGGACGAGGCTGGGGCAACGTGGGCTTAGATGGGACAAAGAAAAGCTACTTGAGTGCCACGGCCTCCAAATATGGAGAATAAAACCCGCCCAGTGGACAAGCTGGGGCTGCAGCACCGGAGCAGCAGGAACCGTTCACATTCATCTTGCCACACGTCTGGCCGGTGCGCAGATGGAAATGTCAGCTCCTTATAGACACCACTCAGGGACACGTGTTTTTCGGGGTCCTTTCCCTGCCGCAGTGAGGGGATGGGAAACTCTAAAGCCCAGGGCCCTGAGCGCCCCGTATGCCCTGACATTCTCTGTGATTGTCCCCACAGGGCAGGCCACTGGTGCAATTAGGCGTCAGGTTTCTCTCTTTTCTTGCTCAGTGAAGTTACTGACCCCAAACCCTGCACAGCACGGACCTTTCACTAGGCCCTTCCCATTCGCATTTGCTTGGAAACGCCTGGGTCACACGGGTGCAGGCAGAGAATGACCTGGTGTGTCTACCCTAAGGTCTCCCTGGGTGAAGGGATGCCAGGCAGTCACCGTCCCCAGGGCCCGAGGCTGGCGGGGACTGGGGTGACGTGCCCCGTGCCAGGTGCTAACGTTTGCCCACAGAGCCCTCAGTTGCTCTGTGCCTCTAACTCCCCACCCCACAGCCACCCTTGTCCTGTGCCAGGTGAGGACAAAGGACAGGCAGCTGTGACACAAAGCCTCAGGAAACGCAGGCTCCTGGGCTTGCGGGCAGCTCTGCTTTTGGAGGGGCAGCTGGATGTGGTTGCTGGGGGGAGTCAGGCCGATGACGGCGTTGCTGCTGTCCTGCCTGTGCAGCCTCAGGCAAGTTACTTAACCTCTCTGGGCCTCAGTTTCCCCACCTCTAGAGGAGGGTAACTCTCACTGCAGAACTGCGGACTGAGAAGTGACTGTGATGTGCCTGGACAGCCTGTTGGTGGCCATTGCACCGATTACCACAATTGTCACCTTTGGCCTGTTTCCTTGTTCTCCGTGCCTGGGGACAGGAAATGGAGACCCACAGTTGGGATGGCTAAGCTGCTCTCGAAGGTGTGGCAAGGCAGCCGGGGCACTTTCTCCATCCCTTTCTTTGGACTCTGAGTGCGCTCCCAGCAGCACGGGACCCTGGCGGGCTCCGTCCCAGCCAGGCCGAGAGCCGGGGGGCCGCAGCTTCGGCCAGTCTCAGGATGGCCCCCCAGTTTTGCTCTTTAAGACGCTTACTCTGCAGGGGATGCCCCCCCATCACCTGAAGTGAAAACACGCCTGAGCAATGTTTGTCGTCAGCAGTTAGTCAGGCGGGGGGACAGGACAGACAAAGCCCACCTGGCCACCACGGGTCAGGTGGCCCCCGGGATTTGGATCCGTGACTGGTGTGTGCACACAGGGCCTGGAGTTTCCGAGGCAAACTTCCAGAACAGCAGGTCCCTGTTGAAACTTGGTGCTGGGACATTGCTTTTAAGCAATGCTGGGACAGGTTTTCCGTCGATGGCATTTCCGCAAATGGCTCATTTCAACCTCCAGTCCCCCGGCTCTGCTCCTGGAGGCGAGGGGCTCAGCGTTCTGAATGGCCACTGGCGTATTTATTGTCACATCTTATTTGTGTTTGCTTTTGTCTTTAAAAAATGGATTGAATTGTATGGGGTGCTCACTTTTACCGTGGAGCCCCCACGCGTGGCATCTTGTGTTGTAGTCGGAAGGTTTGGGCGTTCCGGGCGCGGCCTGGCGTGAGGTGTGCTCACGCACACTGGGGGCAAACACACACTCAGGGCGTGTGGCTCTCCTGAGCCTCTTCACCTGCGGCTCTGCCAGCCCATCAGATACACAGCAGGGGCTAGTTCTTCTCCACGCCAGTGCGACGGCAGGCAAGCCATTGGAGCAGACATCCAGTCGGTTTGGTTAAAAAATAACCAAAATGCTCACTTGACCTGTTCCTTGAGATAAGGGGGGCACCTGAGTCACAGCTGGTGCTCAGCCATCTCTTCCGGCCTGGAGACCCGAGGACTCACTCCCTGGGGACAAGGCCACCCCAGCCTCCCTCCTATGTGTATCCCAGCCCTTAGCCTGACACCTGGAACAGGGTCCCCCACCAGTCAATGCAGGAAATCTAGACGCTTCCATTGAATCAACTTTATCGTGGTTTAATTGGGAGGAGGGTAGGCTGGAGGGGCCTTGTTCGGACCTTTTGTCTGGAGGACATGGGGTTAAACAAAGGTTTTTCCTCGTAAGACATTAAGAGCTGGAGGTCCGTGTGCGTGAACAGAGTGATTGGAAATGGTCATCAGGAAGGTTTGAGGTAAAACCCGGCCACCGTTCAAATTTCCTGGGTGGGTCGTGTGAAATTCCCTGCATTCACTTATTTTGGGCCTAAGACAACTGCAATTTCATAAGATGCAACCCATACTTCTCAAAAAGGAATAAATGAGGGAAGGCACTCCTTTCTCTGACTTGGCTTTAAACCAGGGGCCAAGCAGAAAATAAAGAAGGCTAGCATCATTGGAGATCGTTAGTTAAGGAACTGAAAAGCCGGTGAAAGGAACCAAGGAGAAAAATAAGAATCTGTGGATTATAGTCTAAATCACGTTACATGGGTTTATCCAGTTGCCGAATTGCCTCAAAATATTGGGGGGAAAACCCCCATCATATTCAGTGTGGTCTAGGTTACTACCTAAATGTTCCTCATAGCTATTACCTTCTTTGTGTGTGTGTTAATTTGAAGTATTTTAACAAAAATACCATAAAATCATTAGAGGAAGTTACAAAGTTTTAAAAAGCCATAATCGTACCAGGCTAGCCTAATAACTTTTTTACTTTCACTTCTTTGCATTCCATTCCAATATTTTATAACAACGGTATACACATGTTTGTTCAGTTGCTGTTAAAACAGTGGTTTCATGTGCTTGTTAAAAGATTCTATTACGACTTTTTTTCATGTTCGGCCTTCCTGATCGCTTTTAATTGCTCTATAAACTTTTATAATTCATGCATCATGTTTCTCCGCTATTTCCTTATTGCTGAGCATTTGGGCTGGTTTCTAATTTTTGTTATTGTAGCTAATCGTGCAAGAAAAGCTTTGTGTACGCAGCTTTACAATTTTCTTTTTGGTTCCTCCTCGGGCTAATTTCTCCAGGGCTCACAGTGGAGATGCTGAATTCAAAGAACGTTCTGCAGCCCACTTTGGGCTCCTGAGGGGGGTCATCCCATGGAGGAGAGTTTGTTTTATCTCCTCTGAGCCCGTCCAAGTTCATTTCTGCCCTCTCTAGAGCAGGGGGGCCTGGGCCCAAGTCCTGGTTCGTCCCCAGGCGGTCACTGCCGCCAGTCACCCCCCCTTCAGAGCCTCTGTCGAGTGGTGGCCACGCCGTGTGACTCAGGGGACTGTCGTGAGCTGGAGGCACCCTTGGACGTGCCTCCACGCAGTGCTCACAGAGCGGCATCCATTACCATGTGTGCCTCGGTTTCCCTCCCTGCAAGAGAGACGGCCCGTCGCCTTCCCCAGGTGGTAACGGGAGAGCCTGGCCCTCACCCGCCTCCTTTTCTTTCCTTGTCACTCAGATGCAGTGTGAGTGGGGTCAGAAATGTCCCTCAGGCCTGTAGTGTCCTCCCCTGGGAGCAGACAGAGGAGGGGGTGGAACGTCCCCTTCACCCACCAGATGAA